TTTATTCGGGGGGTCTGGGGGGGTCCGAAAACCAGTCAGTATCTGGTGTGAGGGTTATGGTTATGGTTAGGGTTATGGTAAGGGTTAGGGTTAGGGTAATGTTGTGAATCGAGTGGCCCATGGTGGTGGTGGGGTTATGGTATGGGCAGGGGTATGTTATGGACGACGAACACAGGCCACTCGATTCACAACATTACCCTAACCCTAACCCTAACCCTCACACCAGATACTGACTGGTTTTCGGACCCCCCCAGACCCCCCCAATAAAGCAAAAATGCACGTTTCAGAGTGGCCTTCATGTTCCCCTGCTCATATTTTCTAAAATATTACCTCTACTCTGCCAAAATGTGTCAAATGAATTCACATGCAGCAGGTAAATGGTAAATGGACTGTACTTATATAGCGCTTTATCCAGTCTTTACGACCCCTCAAAGCGCTTTACATGTCATTCACCCATTCATACAGAGCAGTGCAGCTTACTCTAGGACCTAACATTCATACACCGTTGGCCATGCCATCGGGAGCAACTCAGGGTTAAGTATCTTGCCCAAGACATCGACATGTTGGCTGAACGGGCTGGGATCGAACCCACAACCTTCTGGTTGAAAGACGACCGCACTCCCTCGCAGCCACAGTTGCCACTGTAGGTAGTTTGAAAACTTGCAAACAATAAAAAGAACATTACGATAATTTAAGAAAATGTAAGCTCACTTGCAACTGGGAATAAGAAGACTGATGTGATTTACTAAATTAGACTTGAACACATTTTATGGTATTCCTGTTTGTGTCTTGAATGTTGTGCAAAAAGGGATCTCACTAAGGTATAGTTCCCCCAGAGTGCTCAGTCAGATTTCAAGGGATCGTGCCTCTTAGACTTTGAGTGTCCGATATGGGAGAAGTATGACTTTTGTCAAGGCTGTCAGTGACTAGATGTTTGTTATTCTTGTATAAGTAAAACCTATATTCACATTTGGTCACCATACATATTCAGATGTATCCTAAAGGGGACTCAGAATATCCAAATCAGATATGATGAAAACCCAGTAATTATTTGCTGATCGGTAAAGCTGGGACACATTATGAATGATGGTCCTTTTTAAAACATCAAAACCACTCTTCATCTTACCTTGGTACTGGGCGCTGAAACCTCTCAACTTGTGGTTGCCGTCAGAGGTAAAGTGCAGCCGAAGCCAGTTCTTGCTGCTAATGATGGGTGATGGAAGGTTGGGGCCAGTGAACCTGTAGGCAAAGAAACAGGGAACAGAGATTAGCATGTTAGCACGGTTGCGTTTTAACAAGCAAACATGAAGGCCGCACATTGAAAACTGCAGTTACAGTATACCCTGTACATTTGTAAGTGTATTTAAGGTTAAAGGCTCGGTATGAACCATTGCCATCTGTAGCGTGAGTTGAAGCACTGATACACTTCCTCAGTACATTGCAAAAGGAGAAGCAACCACTCTGTTTTGGAAAATCTCTTGTCTAGTTTGTCAGGGCATAGCCTCATGGACCATATATGCTGGGAGTCTAATGTTTTACCGTTTTAGGTAAATGACATCCTGCTGTACGAGTAACTGATATTGATGCACACATCATTTCTTGAAAGAGTCATCTTTTACTCAATCTATAAACGTCCTTTGCAAGAAGTTATTGAGCTTGATAGCGATTCTGTTTTGGGCCATAAAGCAATTATGTAATCCATCAGATTTCCAATAAAGTCAAGTCCAATGGCAGACTATATATTACCAAGGCTTGCAGAACCTGCCAGTCTTCCTGGTGATTGTCTTGTTTGTTTATGGTAATTATACTAATGTTTCAAAGTTAATGTGGCCTTTACTTAGAGATGGTAAAATGTTATACCTTTGAGATCTATTAAAGGGAGGGTCTGGTACTCAAGGGGAACTGTAATGTTAACGACCCTTAACCAAACTGTGGCCCAATAAAAAATGCGACCAGGGAGGATCGGCATTGGCATTTGCAGAGAAAGGACCCTCCTTTTATTACTTTGAAAAACCAATCTTGAATTATACTCCACAAACACTTAAAGTGCCTCCTGATCTGTATGCTAATGAGCGCTGCTGCTTACAAGGCACTTTTTCAGTTGTTAAAGTAAAAGCCATTTGGGAACACATCATGTTTTATCTTGAGACACACTAACACAATCTCAAACACACACGCTCATACACATGCATACAGTGTGCATACATTCCAATTGCCCACCTGTAAATTACATTTCCCAAACTGTGTCCACCTCATCTCCCAAACCTAAATACCAGCATCCCTCTGTGGTAGTTTCTGATTAAACCTCCGACCAGCTCTCATTAATACAGCGGGATCAAGCAAAGAAAAGTGAAAATATGATTAAATAATGTAATAATACTGAGAAAGAGAATGGAGAAAGGGTACAAGACACATTTTGGAAGCTACTGTAATAGCTATTCTTCTTTGAATGCAAAAAAATTGTTTGTGTACTGATGCCGCTGGGGAAAAAAAAAAAATCTGCTTTAAGCATACAGCTCCAACAAAAAAGACAATGAGGAGATACTTAAGTCTAGTGAAGATGTTTGGTGGAAATACGTGTCTGCACTGTAGAGCTCTCTTAGGATCAATTAAAAGCATACAGCGGTAGAGATGTAGACAGACTTTTGCTTTTATTTTTATGAAAACAGAGCACTTTTCGTTTAAGCCGCTGCTGCAGTGGGGCCCCGGCTTCACTATACAATAGCTTTACGATTTAGTCAAGGTGAACACAAGGTCACCTGAAGGCTCGGAGACTGTAGGAGTGTAAAAATAAGTTTCTAATAGAGTTTTGAGGAACAGCCATATCGAAACCCAAGGGAGAAATAAGACCGTGATTTAATAACTGCATATCAAAACGTCAGTGATTTGGCTTTTTCAACCACACAGAGAGATGAATGGAGAGTATGTCAAAGATGAAGCTAAAGTGTTTCTCCCGTCTCCCATGGCAGCCAATCTCTTCGCTTGTAAGTCAGGGACACCAATGACCTCAACCCTCATTTAAGAGATTTCCACTGACGCAAGCTTCACTGATCACACGGTGAAATGCTGGAGACTCAAAAGGTTGAGGCCAGAATCTGGAGCACGGTTGGTTTTGACCTTGTGTCCAAAACAAGTGACGCAGCTCCTTTGTAAACATCAGAGGCCTTGATTAAAAAAAAGTGGGGTTTTTAAGGTGTAAGTCAAAGGTGAGTATGTTTGTCTGTGCTGTGTCTTTATGCCACAAACTCACCTGCTTAAGCTTATTTTGGGGAGAATGTTCAAACTGGTGTAAGGTTTTAGTACCGCACTATAATATTATCTTTTCACTCGACACAAACTGCTTTTTCTGCTTCTAATAATTCAAAAACAACCCAACGTTCATGCACAGTAATATGAACAATTAACATATATTTTTAGCATTTTTGAAAGCTACTTATGTCTTAATAATATTATATATAATATTCAACAGTAATTTTAACAATAAACATATTTATATTCATATATATAAACATCAATATTTGCTACATCCGTGCTCTCATCCAGCTGCAGAGCGAAATATTCACTAGCTCTCACTTGCTCCAAAAGCTGAGCAGATACTCAGTTTCACTCTCACTAGCGGCAGCTCGATTCTGATTGGCTTGAAGGGCGGTCGTGTGATTTAAAAAATATATATATATATGAATAAGTAAAAAATATTAAAAGATTGGCATCAAAGGACACATAGATTGATAGATATGCAGTTATTAATAAAATTAAAATAAAATAAAAAATGTAACTTTAAAAAAAATAAAAAATTCCCCTTTCCCTCAAACTTTGCGCGACCCCCCTGGCGCCCCCTGGCGGCCCCCCGTGGATTCGGGGCCCCCACTTTGAAAAACACTGGCTTAAGGTATTATCAAAGTGGTATTTTATAAATAACAATAAATATCAGAAAATCAAACATATTCAATCAAATATAGTCTCTGGTGTTTACTGGCATTCTTGCTTCTTTTTAAATGTATTTATAAACATGTGCAGAATTAGGTTATTTATCTGATCAGATTATAATGTGTTTCTCCATTTTAGTATGGCCTGGAGGCTGCATGGTGTAATGAAAATGAGGCAGAAATGTAAAGCTTTGTTGTACAACCCTGACCTTGATTTACAACAGCGAGTGCAATACTGATAACGTGAGTCAGACACCTCAGGAGATGTTTTATCACTTAAAGATGAAGCATTGAGGGGGATCGTGCAGTGTCTGGCACACGTGTGTTTGGAGTGCTACTACTAGGATGGAGAGTGCCAGAATCACCTCTGGCTCTGAGTACATAGCTGCAAACTAAATCTCTCGCAAATGAATTACAGTGTATGATCCACACTGCACACAAAGGCCTCAAAACACCAGTGCCAATATTTAAATGCAGAAGCCCTGTTAGTGTTCCTCCCCTCGTTCACTTTAGGGACACATAAACATGTCCCTTTGAATTAAAGGCCAGTTCCAAACACAACCAGCAAGCTAAACACCCACTTAAGAGCGGGATGAACTGTGGCAGAGCCAGAGGATAAGGAGCTGACGGGTATGCCATTACAGATTAGGAGATTAATAAATATGGGATAAGGGTTTAAAAGGCTACCATAAATATCATTTTGACACCTCTGCCTTTCACTGTTCCCCCTTTTTTGCTGAAAACTTCAAAGTTTTAGGGTGAAATGCATAAAAGGGCACAAGAGTAAAAGTCCTGAGTTGGCAGATGGAGGGCTCCTGAAGGGTGTTGTGGCCACTTCGATACTCCCTTTTCACCTCTCTCTCTCTCTCTCTCTCTGACCGACCATATTCGATTTTTTGCGGAATTGTCTTGAGAGCGCAGAGCTAAACCAGTTTCCATTTCCAGGTCCCAAAGCTCCTAAGTCTGACTCAGACTTTTGATGATTGTCCAAGGAATGTATGTAGGGCAAAGCAAGGTGATAGAGGCAGCCAGTGGTGTTGATGACGGAGGGGAATGAGCTCAAAACCATTCACTGACACACAGAGCTCTCTGAGAAACAGCTAGGCTTTGATGCAGCTCTTTTACATTGCATTCATAAAATGGTTGGACAAGATGAAATGGACATGAAAATGGTTTACCGGTTGCACACAAGTATATTCTCCTGGTCAGGGTATCTTTCTTGCATGGAGTTTGGTTTCTACTGCAGCTACACCTGTGTCTTATCATGGCAGAAGATATTTCAATAGCTTAAGGAAAGTGAGATGTAGGTAGGGATGGGTATCGTTAAGGTTTTAACGGTACTACTACTTTTACATATTTCTGAGTATCTAACGTTGGAATTGCAAATCCTTGTTGCTCAGACTTGTCTTTTCACTGTCATATCATGATTGAGGGTTTTAGGACCAGTCAAAACTCATTTATATAACGCTGGCATAGAGATACTTTCCATACTGATAAGATGTGACTCATTAAATTGTTAATGCCTTTCAGGATTTTGAACAAAGGTCGTTGTCATCATGCAATTCAGCAACCCTTCCCAGTGGAATGGGTCTATTTTCTGCTTTATATTCATGGTTTCATGTGGTCTGTTTTCTGTTTGAGGGGCAAAGGTGTCAAATTACTCTTTGCATAATCAGTGATGGGCGGAGTTTAGGTGTCAAAGGTGACAAGCTCCACATTAGGATCAAATGCTTTAAATAACCATTCAGGTAATGAGTTCATTGTGATGAAGCATCAAAGGACCATATGTGTTCATGTGTAGGTGCCTGCATGCGTGCAGAGGGATGAAGAACGTCCCCATTAATAGCAGCTACTTAGGTAGATCAATCAGAGCTCTGCTCAGTATGCAGGTCCTGCTTACAGCAGAGCGGGGGTCACAGTGACTTTAAGCCCAAACTTTCAGCATTTTAATGAGGCTACCTGAATTATAGCACAGGTCCGTTTATCCAGATGTACATGGAGGCACACAAACACACACTCCAAACATTCACAGTTCCAAACAAGTAGGTGGATATCAATATATATTTCTCTTTATCTCGGTCATACTTTCTATTGCACACACATACACACCCTCTGAGGTAAAACTAATCAGGGTTGAAGACCGTTAAGACCAGGAAGGCAGTGTTAAAGCTGTGGCAGTGGAGCTGTGACCTTCAGATGAGAGCAGACACACACTGGGGGATTAAATGAAACACCAGAGCCCCCAGCTCAAAACAACATAGACCCCCTCAACACTGGTCATTTCTTCAAACAGCAACCATTCAGGCAGTAAAAACTATCAACCCTGCAATAGAGTTAAGGCCAAAGTT